GGCTCGTGGTCCCCCAGAGAACTCTATCCTGGACCACCTGAGTAATGCTGTATTATGGTTGGTAAAGTAAAAACCAATACGGAAAATGAGCAGCACTGTAATTGTATTACCGGTGTGGTGTATGGGGAGTCGTGGTTGCCACAAATAGCCGAAGCTGAATTGACAATTTTATGATTCTCGGAATTGAATTGGGAAAAAAAGAAAGTCAAGAAGAAAAGCTAAAGCGATGAAACAAGAATTACAAGAGCAGTGGCAGCTGTGTTGAAATCGGGCCAAACAGCTGTGTTATTTTAATCTTGTTCTCATGTTTTTGACCAACCTTTGGAGTGCAATGGTCAGATATGTGGGCAAGGGTGGGAATGTCGTCCTGTGTCAGAGGTGATTTAATCCATCGGCGCATTAGGGGGTGGGAGAGAATTATTCCTTTCAGGAATTGAGGTGCCTTTGCGAGTTACACTCGTTCAAGATTGAAAAATCTGTCAGATCGTTTTCTATCGCAGAGAAACACACAACGGCGAATGTGATGTGTTTTTTTTTCCAATGAAAAAAATTGTAGTCGCACTCAGATGTAATCTAAAGCACACCGCCAATGGTCACAAAGCACATGCGAACACACAAACAATAAACAAAGATCCCCCCCTATAGTGAGCACCTTTGAAGGCCGGCACAGCACACGAGAGGGTGGGTGGCCAACACCACGTCAAGCTGCCTTTGTTTCCCGAGTGGCGATGTTTACACATCGCATCAGGTACTAATTTGAGGCCGAGTCGACCGAGGAGAGGCCCATGAACGGGAATTGAACTTAGGTCGCCGGGTTTGTAGTTCAACGTGCTAACCACTCCGCCACTGCTCTCCAAAAACAAAGCCACACATGCGTGCTCTCAGATTTGAACAAACACGAATATTAAAACATCAGAGGCTTTTGAGATGGGCACAAATTGCAATAGTAATGCATGGCAAGGTAAACTCCAAGTTGATCATGAACATCCATCCATTCTGCCAATAAAACGTAATGTTCGTGTCCTCTTACAAACCATGCATTTACGTATCATACTCGTCTGCCACAATCACTCGTGCAAGAAGCTATCATCACCACCACCACCACCACATTTTGAAAGTCTCACTAGGCATATGATATTATCGTTAAATCAAGTCAATTGGTTGGTTAGAGTATTTGACTTGCTATCCGAAGGCTATAATTTTAAGTCCCATGGTGAACTCAGCCTATTATTCTTCTGGCCGTTCAGAAATTACCATTTTGCGAGAGAATGGCTGCACAGTGGAAACGTGGAAATTATCCGGAGATAAACACTGCCCCTTTGCTTGTTTGAGGATGTAGACTCTTTGACCGGAGTTCAACCAAGCTGCACAATAGCCCTTTTGTGGTCTCGTTTGCCTGGTTTGCCTTGCTCCAGAGCCCGGGAGTTTTCCCATGAGCAGCATCTGTAACAGCAAGGCGTTAAATCAGCTACTGTGCACAGCTTTGGGCCACCTGAGGTCGACATTGGGATCTGGTCTCAGGGTTCCTGTCGCCGCTTTCTGGGAATTCCCTCTCAAGGTCACTCGCAGAACAAACAGAGCACCTGGAAAAAAGGTCGCACTGGTCAGCGTTTTCTGACGTCTAAACTGTGGTCGATTCTCCTCGCCGCTCAAATGAGAAAATTGACAGAGGGCTCGCGTCTGTTTGTGGTGCCTAGACGGTGGCGTTAAATCCTCATTCTCATTTTAGGAAGCCTTTTTTTTTTACAAAAGAAAGATGACTATATTTGACATGCCATGAAGTTCGGCACTCTTTGTATCAACCCTGGAGCGATAGTGGCCTTTTAATGCAACACTGCCCAGCTGCATTGGGTTGTGTTTCCCTGCCTGTGTTAATTCATCCAGAACGTACCAAATCTCTCAGATCTCAGAAGCTAAACAGCCTTGAGCCTGCACAAGTGCCGAGATGAGCGACCGCCCTCTGGGTGAAATGAACAGGAAACCCCACTGTTGGACTGTAACTGTGATCCAAAGTCGATTATAAAAACTCCCCGCATTCACCGACTGTTCAGCACGGTGAAGTATAATCGAATAACCCCCAATGACACGGGCATGGTGATGCCCTCATACAGCAGTGGATCGACAAACAGGGCTATTCCTGGGCATGTCCACCCACCTTCAGAACTATTTCTTACTACTCCAGTTGGCTTTCACCACCTGTCATTTGTGTAATTTCCACAATCGAGTGTATATGTATGTATATATTTTACAACATCCCCATTGATTTTTTTAATATATATTGGACCAATCAATCGCAATTAGGCTTCCATAACCTCTCGTTGACAATTGTGCATTATTTATTACAAATTAAATGTTGATTCATACAGCAAAATAAATGGATAATTGAAAACTAATTTCTTTAGAACTGCCTTTTGTGTTGAGTTGGTTGTCTTTCCCCCACACCTTCGATTAGTACGGTGCGAAAGAAGTTCAACATACATATGTGTGATATATTAAAGTGTATGCAGTACTACAGTATTACTAAAGTAGGGAGTGGTGGTGCAGTGGTGGAGCAGTGGTTAGCAAACTGCGCAGTGAACCCGTCAACCGGAGTTTGATTCCTGGCCACAGTGAACAGCGGTGCTAAGTAATATCCGAACCAATCCTGATCAGCCACCCACACTGACCAGCGTGGTGAAGTATGATCAAGCAACGCCCATGATCGACACGGCATGTGGAGAGGGCCTTCATCTAGCAGTGGATTGACAAATACTTGAACAGTACGAATAAAACATTGTATACGTCAAGAGGGCAAAGTGGCGTTTCATTTTATTTGTTAATGCATTAAGGCAAAACAAGTATGTGCTGAGATGTTATGCTAATGTGGCTGCTACTCCGCTATATTTAAGACATCCATATGACTAATGAAGTGACGTTAATATGATCACCATGTTTGATGTGGGCGTTGTTAAATGTTTCACGTAGAATTAATACGCAGACAAACATTGAGTGTGTGACAGTAAAAATAGCAACATCCAACAAATCTTGGCTATTACCGCTTAAATTATATAAGCTTAAAGAATCACCAGAGTTTGTTTAAACTCTTGCGCTGTTGTTGGCCTTGTCATCGTGATCAATGTGACAATATATTTGCTCTCTTTGTTGGTGAACATTTGTATTCACACGAGTGTGTCGCGTGTATAATGTTCCGCGCGTGCTATTACTCCGCTACCCGCTGCCCCGTGCGCTCGACTCGCGGTTAGAGGGCATTCGTGTCACTAGCGCCACTGCCCCACAGCCCCAGCGCCATCCTGGTTCGACTCCTAACCCGTGGGAAATCATCATCTGAACATCATCACGCAGACCTTTGTGTTGCATCGGCCCAATTGTAATTCCTGCATGGCGCAGCGTCAACATCGGAGCACCGGGGAGACGAAGGTGGCCGGGTGTCGTGTTGGCAGCAGCGCTCTCCTGTGCGCTATTTTCATCAAAATAGTCATTCGCTTTCGGCGCTTGCCTCGGCAGTTTATACGGCTAATGGGGTGGGGGGGGGATCTGACAGAGTGGTAATAACAATAGATAATAATGATTTACTTATTTATCCAGGAAAGCCACATTGAGTCGTATTTTTTTCATTAGGATCCTGCATTGGATTTTTTTTATATTAATATATTTTCAGCCAATTATTGACGAGTGTTTATTGTACGAGTGGGAGAAAACCGGAGCACCCGGAGAAAATGCACGCGTGCGAGGGGACAACACTCTATCCCTGTACAGCAATAAACATGTGGAGTTTAGTCCACTTGCTGCGCTGCCATCTCCTAGCGTGCCAGGGTATGGATGGTCTGCAAACTAAACTGCACCGTTATCTAAGAGAGTTAAATTATTGGTTATGCACAATCACCAGTGGCTATTGGCATCTCGACCTGGTGTTGGGTTTGACGGTAATGTAGGTCATTTCAGCCTAAAATGAGTACATTGTGGTCAACGTGAATTCAGGACTTGGGAATGCAAAGCAGGTGGTACATATTTGCCATGCCAGGCTTAATAGGTGCTCGCTAATATTAGCCTTTTTCCAATTTGTGAGTGGAACGTTTGTCCTGCCCTTGCGTGCATAGTGTCGCCTTTGAGTCCGAAAGCAATTCACATTTTACGCCTGTGTGCATGCGGTTGTGTACTTGCATTTGTGGACACGTGTTTAGGTATTCGTCTTCGTGTGTCTGCATATATATTGTGGGGAGTGGTAGTGTCGTGGCTCGCCCATTGCGCTTCGAACCCAGCAACCCAAGTTAAATTCCCGCTCACGGCCAACACCAGTGACGATTATCTGAACCGGTCCTGGGTCTCCCCTAGGTCGACTCAGCCCGCAATGAATACCTGATGCGGTGTGTAAACATCGCCACTCGGGAGACAAAGGCATCCCGATGCGTGGTGTTGGCCACCCACCAATAGGTGCTGCTTGCTCACAGCACTTGTGCCAACAGTCTGTGTAGGCTATGCGGGAGATCTTTGACTGTTTTTTCTTTGTTTCTCTGTGTATGAGTGTCGAGCGGTCGTGCATTGCAGCAATATGAACCTGGAAACCTGAGTTAAATTCCTGCTCTCAGCCAATATAAGTGAACCAGACTTGGCTTGACTCGGCTTAAATGAGTATCCGACGCACCTTTGCCGGTCTTAATAGGCGCTCGCTAACATCACTTGCCCCAGCAACCTCTGTAGACGAGACCTAAGCTCTTGCATCTGTGTGCGTGTCCGTGTGTACCTGTGCCTTTGCCCCTCCCGCCTTTGTACGATTCCATGCAAGGACCCCCCCCCCCCATCTATGCATGTCCGCACGTCTGTGAGCGTGTCCGCACGCGTGCGTGTCCGTCTGTGTGTGCGTGCAAAATGTTTGGTGTTTACATTTGGCAGAGAGTGAGCAGCCCGTTGTCATGGCAGCAGAGCAGCGACGAGAGAGAGGGAGAGACGTTGTGCTGAGAGTGATGCACGCGCGCGCGTGCGTGCGTGAATCTGTTCCACAGAGCCCCGCTTCGGCAGAGATAGACCGTCGACGGCTGGGGCCATCTCCCGCGACGTCGAGCTGCCACGCAGCCTCGCCGCCAAGATGGAGAGCAACTGCCTGTCCTGCGTCAAATACCTGATGTTCTTCTTCAACTTTCTCATCTTCGTAAGCGATCACGCGTCCGCGTCCACGCCGTTGCCGCCTCCGATGCGCCTGCCGTTCATTCAAAAGGGGGAGAACTCGCATTGAAGTGGCTTTAATCGCGATTGCGTCTTATAGATTTGTCGGGGTTAATTGTGGGTGATCGCACAGTCGTTTTTTTTTTAACTCGTGACCTGTTGGTGTCTTGTTCTGCCTGCCTGCCTGCCTCGTTGTTTCCGTCCCTCTGATCACGCGCGCATTAGACACTCAGCAATCATTGCTTGCCGATGCTGTTTGTTATCGTTGAAATAATGGTCTCCTACGTGACCTTGAAATTGTCGCTTCTGTAGACCTGATGTGCAAACAGAAATGTCTTAGAAATGAATCGTCATGTCATTAACTAAGAATTAATTCACGATGTATTGCATGAAACTACAGCTGAATACTTTTCAAATGTTGCTCATCGATATGTGTGCATTCGAATTCTGTTTGCCGAGTTTAAATCAAAGTCAGGGGTCGACTCAGGCTGTAATCCATATGGGGTCGATAACATGAGTGCCACTTTGTGGGACTTCAACAGCGGTTGTTCTATGGATGGACTGGCACCCACCATGGGAATGTGGAATTGCCACAATTGGCTCAGGGACACCCAATGGATATTAGTGCCACCCTCGATGCTTGCTTGAGCAGGGATACATCTTTACTTGAAAAACAGTCCGAATATGAAATAACTAAATATTTATAACAGTCAAGATATTTTTTTATTCAAAAGAGATAACGAATCTCGATGGACTGTCATCCAGCTATGTAATTTGATTGATTGATATACTGATTGGATACGGTCAGCAGGTGAAATCGTGTGTTAAATGAGCTTCACCGAGAGATAACGTACGTTGCACATTTGTGCCAGTGAACATATCAAATTTGCTTGTCAAACTGCATTTGGAGGTATCAGTGTTTTCCTTAATCCTTACGAATGTCGGCAACGATTTTTTTGCATCGACGTTAAAAGGCAAAGGCTGGTGACGGATATGTTTCTCTGATGTAAATTAACTCGACAAGTCAGATGCGTCTCCTCACTCGCGAGGGTGGGAGGCATTGCTCATCCCTGCTGATGGTCTTGAGTCACCAGTGGACATTCCACAGTGCTATGGTCGGGCGAGGGGGTAGGGGCAGTCATTCCATCGATCAACCGTTATCAGGCTTCCGATGAAATGGCGTGAATTTTTTTTTATATTATGGACCATCGCGTCATGATAGGCTGACAACCGTGGACTGAGATTTGATTTTAAAACCACAGTGTGGCCCAGCTAGCTACTAGTGTATAGCGTAGTGTATAGTAGTGTATAGTGTAGGCAAAAGGAATGCTCAGTTATTATTGTGTATTGATGCAAGGTAATATATTCACTATACATGTGTAAGTGTACAAGTACTTACTGACACTTAGATATTTTATAAGTTGGGGTTTTGTAGTTAGTGCCTAATGTTTACTAAAACACCCATGAATTAATTCATGTTTAGAGTTTAACATTTTCTTATGTGTTCTTGAAAACGTGTTCTATGAAATATGTCCTGATGTGAAACCAATAACCGGTTCTAGGCAGTGCTCACTTTCATTCTATTGGCATTCGTGTTACCCTCTACAAGAGATGAATTATCTGCATCATTGCTAATGGGGATCGCACATTGCTAAGTAGATTTGCATCGGACTGCAACTGGTTTCTAACGTAATACTGACCCTGCACTGAAGGAGTAATACCAATCACACTCCACATTGGACTATGGATCTGGTGACGTCTACTCGTATTCCTCGCCACGGCTAACATCAGTGGCGAGCGATACCGGGACCCATCCTGGTCTCCCACTTCACCCAACCTGCGCTGACCAGCGTGGTGAAGTATGGTTAAAACACCACTTAACATCGATGCGTTGTGGTCTAGGCCTTCATCCAGCAGTGGATTGACAGGCGGGCTGTACATAGTATTGTGGTCTGAAACATGAACTCGACTATAATTGTACGGAAGCTTAGCTTCATTGATCTTGTACAACACCGTGAGAATTTACATGAGTAACTCACGAACTCGGGATCATCTATACGCAGTAGTCGTGAAGAGTTGTATCAACCAGCAAACCTGGATTTAAAACTCACAATCTTTCTGATTGACAGGTAAGCGCCCATGCTTGGCTCGGTGGGGGATGACATTTTAAACATGTGTAACTCTTCAGCAAGCTGTAAAAGCCAGTTAAATATTTCAACATATTCGTCAATAATAATGCAACGACGTGGTGCTGATGGATCACTCGAAGGAGAGATAAGAACAAGCGCTGGATGGCTGCAAAGTGCGAGAGATGACTGGTGTGGTGTGCGATAAGAGGGTCCCAGGTTGGTTGAAGGGGAAAGTGTGTGGTGTATAGTAGTGTATAGTGTAGTGTATAGTGTAGTGTATAGTGTAGTGTATAGTGTAGTGTATAGTAGTGTATAGTAGTGTATAGTGTAGTAGTGTATAGTAGTGTATAGTGTAGTGTCTAGTGTAGTGTATATTAGTGTCTAGTGTATATTAGTGTATAGTGTAGTGTATAGTGTAGTGTCTAGTGTAGTGTATATTAGTGTATAGTGTAGTGTATAGTGTGTAGTAGTGTATAGTAGTGTATAGTGTAGTGTATAGTGTAGTGTATAGTGCAGTGTATAGTAGTGTATAGTGTAGTGTATAGTATAGTAGTGTATAGTGTTGTGTCTAGCGCAGTGTATAGTAGTGTATAGTGTAGTGTATAGTGCAGTGTCTAGTGCAGTGTATAGTGCAGTGTATAGTAGTGTATAGTGTAGTGTATAGTAGTGTATAGTGCAGTGTATATTGCAGTGTATAGTCTAGTGTATAGTGTAGTCTATAGTGCAGTGTATAGTGTAGTGTATAGTAGTGTATAGTGTATATTGCAGTGTATAGTGTAGTGTATAGTGTAGTGTATAGTGTAGTGTATAGTAGTGTATAGTGCAGTGTATAGTAGTGTATAGTGCAGTGTATAGTAGTGTGTAGTGTATAGTATAGTAGTATATAGTGTAGTGTATATTGCAGTGTATAGTCTAGTGTATAATGTAGTGTATAGTGCAGTGTATAGTGTAGTGTATAGTCTAGTGTATAGTGTAGTGTATAGTGTAGTGTATAGTAGTGTATAGTGTAGTGTATAGTGCAGTGTATAGTAGTGTATAGTGCAGTGTATAGTGTAGTGTATAGTATAGTAGTGTATAGTGTAGTGTATATTGCAGTGTATAGTCTAGTGTATAGTGTAGTGTATAGTAGTGTATAGTATTCTTTGGGTCTTTCAGTAAAGCCACGTAGATAGAACAAATAATAAAAAATAATAAAAATAATAATAACAATATCACAACGTTTCGATCGCAACACAAGCAATCGTCATCAGGTGAAAAATATAGCTGGAGAGCTGCTGAGAATACATGGTGGGAGTGCTGCTAAGGGGGAGTTAGTGTATAGTGTAGTGTATAGTAGTGTATAGTGTAGTGTATAGTGTGGTGTATAGTGGTGTATAGTGTAGGGTATAGTAGTGTATAGTGTAGTGTATAGTAGTGTATAGTGTCGTGTATAGTAGTGTATAGTGTAGTGTATAGTAGTGTATAGTGTAGTGTATAGTGCAGTGTATAGTGTAGTGTATAGTGTAGTGTATAGTGTAGTGTATAGTAGTGTATAGTTAGTGTATAGTAGTGTATAGTGTAGTGTATAGTAGTGTATAGTGTAGTGTATAGTAGTGTATAGTGTAGTGTATAGTAGTGTATAGTGTAGTGTATAGTAGTGTATAGTGTAGTGTATAGTGCAGTGTATAGTAGTGTATAGTGTAGTGTATAGTAGTGTATAGTAGTGTATAGTGTAGTGTATAGTAGTGTATAGTGTAGTGTATAGTAGTGTATAGTGTAGTGTTTATTAGTGTATAGTGTAGTGTATAGTGTAGTGTATAGTAGTGTATAGTGTAGTGTATTGTAATATATAGTAGTGTATAGTGTAGTGTATAGTAGTGTATAGTAGTGTATAGTGTAGTGTATAGTATTGTATAGTGTAGTGTATAGTAGTGTATAGTGTAGTGTTTAGTAGTGTATAGTGTAGTGTATAGTGTAGTGTATAGTGTAGTGTATAGTAGTGTATAGTGTAGTGTATAGTGTAGTGTATAGTGCAGTGTATAGTGTAGTGTTTAGTAGTGTATAGTGTAGTGTATAGTGTAGTGTATAGTGCAGTGTATAGTCTAGTGTATAGTGTAGTGTATAGTGTAGTGTATAGTAGTGTATAGTGTAGTGTATAGTAGTGTTTAGTGTAGTGTATAGTCTAGTGTATAGTGTAGTGTATAGTGTAGTGTATAGTGTAGTGTATAGTAGTGTATAATATCTAGTACGAGACGGTGGTGAGGCCGGTGCTGTTGTATGGGGCTGAGTGCTGGGGCACAAGAAAGAGAGAGGACCAAGCTATGGCAGTCACAGAGGTGAGGATGTTGCGGTGGATGCTGCTCAGCGCAGGTTGGGTGAGAAATGACAAAGTGAGAGGAAGACTCAACGAGGTAGAAGTCACAGAGAAGATGAGAGGTAAAAGGCTGATGTGCTTCGGTCATTTGGAGAGACAACGGAAAAAGTATATGGGTCAGAAGGTGCAAATGATGCAAGTGGAAGGAAAGAGATCAAGAGTAAGGCAGAAGAAGTGGTGATGGTGATGGGGGGGGCGATGTGGTGCGATGAGACCACGGTGGCCAGCGGAGCGGAAAGAGAGATGGCGCCGGACAGGGCAGCGTGGGAGAGGTTGGCAAGGACAGCGGACCCCACATGAGTGGGCCAAACGCGTGGAAGAAGAAGAAGTGTTATCTCTCTCTGCTTCTGTGTCTGTCTATGTGTCTCCGTGTCTGTGTTTTGTCTCTCTCTCAAATTTAGAAATCTTTGGAAGAACGTTAATCAACCAGTTAGGGTGTTGAGTGTTGTGTTAGCCGACTCTCTGTGCTGTATTGCATTGTATTTCTAAGTTAACTAGGTTTATTTTCTCTTTCATTTGTACCTGATGATGATTGCTTGTATATTCTTAGTTCTTTCGGTAAAGTCACGTTGAAGGGAAACAACAAAATAATAAAATATATATATAAAACAATAAAAATTCTCACGACGTTTCGACCATAACACACCTGAAGACGACCGTTTGTGTTATGGTCGAAACGTCGTGAGAATTTTTATTGTTTTATATATATTTTATTATTTTGTTGTTTCCCTTCAACGTGACTTTACCGAAAGAACTAAGAATATGAATTACTGCGGTCACGAAAGCTTTAAATCAAAAATTATTGCTTGTGTTGCAATCGAAAAGTCGTATTCTATTATTTCATTTATTTTCTTTCCACGTGACTTTACCGAAAGAACCAAAGAGTCAGAAGAAGAGGTTACATTTCACACAATGGCCTCCAGCACATGCATCATATGATGAAGGCCCTTTGCCTGAAGCATCGGCCATTGTATATTTAGATATATATATTTTTTGTTACGGCCACACAGTGTGTTATGGACGAAATTTGTTGAGTTTTGTTATTAATGATTGTGCTTGTGCACCACTCCCAAAGCAGCAGCACCAGATGTATTAGCCGGGGTGCTTTCAGTTTGTTGAGTTCACTTGATGAAAAACTACAATCTCAGAAATAGTTACAGTGTATGTATGTTGGATTAAAATGCCTTTATTGCTTGTGAAATGAATGGAGCATTCAGACCAGGAATTGTTAAAACTTTAGGAACTCCAAACAATGAGAAGAAAATACACTCGTGGTAGGAGATGTTGAACAGTTGAACAGTTTATTTAGAATTGCCCTGTGAGATAAGAAGCTCTTGAATTGGGCTTCATCAACAAAACAGAAAAACTGAAAATTAAAAACACAACGTTTGCAACAGGTCGCATACAAAATATCAATACAATAAATACAGCAATGAAAAAAGTCAGCAAATGAAATGTATATTTTTTACAATATATTACTTAATTATAAATTAAACGTTTAACTAAACTGAACATTAAGACGATTGAGTGAAGATAGTGACTGTAAATCAAGTTTTGTGGTGATATTATTCCAGAGACTTGGGGCGGCCGCTGAGAATGCCCGTTTGATGGGGTTACTTTAAAATATCATTATTCTATGACGACTGACTACTCGAAGTGTTATAAACAACGTGGCACATTGCAATAATTGTCATTTCAATGTAAAACACGATCAAACTGTTCTCTTATGATTAATATCTTCAAATCACCACGTGTGATGTTCTTGTGACTTTATAACGCAGTGCTGTGCTGGTTGTAGGCTTCGTAGCGTGATCTGCACGTATTGGTTGTTCCTTTACTGGCATTAACCCACGCTGCTGACCAGAACATTCCCCCCGGCTTCAGTTTTGAATCATTTTCAAGTAAAATAAGAATGTAAGTAATATTTATACAAAGTAATCGACCACGTAAATGCTGAATAAGAGTAACCTGATGACGCACTGGAAAATGAGAAAGAATACACTATAACTCGTAGCTCCTTCCAATAATTTTGTAAAATAATGCGTGACTGTGGACTTTCAATGTCTTCCCCATATGTTTGCCCTCATCGTGCCATTGGCTTCATGTTATGAGACGTAGAATTGATTCATATCACGAAGTTGAACCCCTTGTGTTCGAGAACAGCCCACAGAAGTATATATGACAGAGCTACCTCTTAGATCCCTTCCAGTGTTCTCTCCATGGTTGCGTGGATTTTTCTCTGGGTCCTTCGGTTTTTCCCTACACATTTGAGTATACGGCTGCTTTAAATTTCCACGTGATAAGGAAATTCATTGAGCTCTCATTGGTGGCCAGGTCGCTACTCAGTGGGCTTTACCTGGTAAAATAAAAAAAAATTATTTCGTAGTTTTAGTTTCCAGTATTGCAGCTGTATTGTTTGGCACGGTGTCTGACATTTAAACTTGAACCAAAGTTCATGCAGAAGCTGCCAGCACGTGTAGCTAAAGGTCGGACATCGAGCCGAACAACGCACGGTACAAAGCAGCACAATTCCGACAAAATTCGCAGATTTTGTTTTCACTGCTAAGTCTGACTTCCTTAGTTCCATTCCACCGCGTGGAAATAAAATTTGCCGGCAACAAATTTCGGGGCTTTGTTAGAGCTCCACGCATGTGGCTCATTATGCCAGTCTTGGCTCAGTTTCAAGTGGACTTTAGGCAACAGGGCAAAACAGTCCTCAAACAGTTGTTTCGACACTTCATTTGGCCTTGTCAGCTCTCTTAGATCGCTGAGGCAAGAGTGGCCTTTTCAAGCTGACCCCGCAGTGTGTGGATTTCAAACACTGACTGCGAACTGGAAAAGTCCACCTGCTGAACAACACAGGATCGTACATCTGGCTGGAATGATATGCCGAATTTTTTTACGTGGCAAATCGGGGAGGAGGAGGCGGCGGCAGGGGGGGGGGTGTTCTCACTGCTTAATTTAATGTCCATTATTTAACTAAATGCGAGCAAAGCAAAGGTCAGGTACAACACGTTTGCGAAACAATTGGACACGTCTGTTGGAGGGACACAACCGACAAGGAGCATCACGCCAGCTCCGGCCATCCTCGCAGCAGCGACTTTTGGCGAGCCATCGAACAAAGACGGCGGTCACCGCATCGCGCGCTTTCAGATGCGCGCTTCTGTGGCCGTCTGGAACGCTCTCCCTTCCGATATTAGAAAGCCTCTGGAGCTATGCGCTTTAAAATCTAGATTGAGAACTCACTTCTTTAGAACTGCTTTATGTGTTTAGTTTGTTGTCCTTCCCCCGCACCTCCGATTAGCAACGGTTGGCTTTATACAGTGCAGAATAAGTTCAACATCCACACAACAGGGAAGCACAGTAGAAGATGCGTTCCCAGGACAGCTACTGACGTTGGTCTGCAATCAAAATGATGACATATAGAGGTGGAAGGGAGCAGCTTGGAGTGTTTTTGAAAATCGCAACGTGCCTAAATAGTAAAGTGTTTAATGAGTGCAAGCCACCTGCTATATGACATGTGGTTCAGAAACACGAGCATTAAGACAAAACAAAAACAGAACAAAGAATGAAAAACGCGCAAAAAAGCGTGGACAGATGCACGCCGCTTGGAATTACATCGAGAGACAGAGAGGGGATCACACCGATGAGAGAGCATACTATGTTAATTATATTATCTTCAATTTCGATTTAAAGCTTTCGTGACTGCAAGGATTCATCTTCTTTGGTTCTTTCGGTAAAGTCACGTAGAATGAGAATAAAATAATAAATTGATAAAATAAAATAACACAATAATATTCTCATTCCACGTGACTTTACCGAAAGAACCAAAGAAGATATATTATCTTAGCTCCGAGTGCGGAGTTGCTGGAGAGTGTGTTGCCTGCTGTATGACCGGCTTACATTCAACCGGGGGGATGGAGTAAAACAAAAAAAAATCAGCTCTCATTTGCCGGTGCAAGGTGGATTCATACATCGCAGGATTGTGAGAGAGGTGGACACGGCTTGGGGAAGCCGTCATCCAGCAGTGGATTGACCATGGCTGACGATGATGACAATGCCGATAGGACCCGTGTAATGCAATGTTGGCAAAATTAAACATAAAAAAGTGGGAGTGCACCTCCGACAACGCCTGTACGCAGCGATCGAACGGACCGAAGCTGTGTGTTGAACGAATGAAATGAACGAATGATTGAACGGACAATCGTTCCCGTGTGCAGCTTGGAGGCGCGGCGCTGCTGGCAGTCGGCATCTGGGTGGCGGCCGACCCCCGTGGCTTCCGGGAGATCGTCGCGTCCAACCCGCTGCTGTTCACCGGCACGTACATCATGCTGGCAGCGGGCGTGGTGCTCTTCCTGCTGGGATTCCTGGGCTGCTGCGGCGCCATCAGAGAAAGCCGTGGCTTGCTGATGACGGTAGGCCTGCTCCCTCTGCAACTGTCCACTTTCGACCCGGAAAGCGCCAGCTCCGATCCGTGTGTTTTTTTAGCTGTCCCTGATTGATATATATATAAGAAACAAACTTAACTAAACCTTTTATTTTTTTTCAGGTAAGCTCCACTGAGCTTTATAGGACTTTTTTTTTAAGAAGCGACCTGGCCACAAACGATAGCTCAACGAAGTGGATTCTCGCGTGGAAATGTTTAGTCGCCAAATACTCTGAACGCACGTTAATTCTAAATGTGGAGCGAAAAACTGGAGGACCCGGGGGAAAAAAAAAACACACGACCACAGGGAGAGGGACATGCAAACTCCAAACATACTGGAGTCAGGGTTGAGATCGATCCCACGATCTTCTGTATACCTGGTGAGGTAGTTAACATCTCGCCAACGTGGCGATACAAATGGGGCGCTCAGCCGCAGAGTGTCGGTGAGCCTTGGCAAAATTCCAGCTGTCAGAATAAAATAATGAAAATAATTTCTGTTTTATTGCACTCTGCTATCCCTGTAGCAGGGTACACGGGGAACAGCAGTACTCCTAGTATGGATGAGAGGTCACTTGGAAGGGAGGACATAATTAGTTCTGTAATATCATCTTCCAAGGGCTTTTCTGTAAAATAAGATCATGCACTGTTCTCTGGTGAGTCCAAAAATACGTATCTTTCTGTCATTGCATGTCACTGCTAGCAAAATAACCAAAAAAAGTCAAAGGAAGTAAGGTGGTTGATGCAAAGCTTGCATTTACACCCCAGGCAAATGGCACGGCTTGGGCGTTTAGCCTGCAAATCAGATTGCCTCTATCACTGCTAGAGTTGCCACACATCCTTGACTCTGCGTTTAACTCGTACGGTCCAGCAATTATCACATTGTCTGCGTTACTTGTTTTTAAGCAACCCTGAACAATACAACATCTTCATTGTGGTCCTTGGTCAGTTCATGTTGCTCATGCTTTTAGTTTCAATTGTGCCACCACAAGGGCTGCAACTCATCCACATCTGAAACATTCAGCATGGGAATCAGCCTCTGCCCTTCGGAGGAAATGTGGATGATACCACGTCCCTATCCGGGCCTCCAGCCAATGGCAATGTGTTTTTAGTCCAGACAAATCAAACTACTGTACTTCTCCATCACTGCTCGAGTTGACACTCATTCAGGGCTGACATGTAAAGTCTGGGAATTGGTCTTTGCATCCGGATTGCATGTGGGAAGTAATCCAGATAATGCAAGGTCCAAATATATGCCCCTGGTCAGTGGCAGTGCATATGCATTTAGCCCAACAAAGGCGAGATATTGCACCTGTGCTGTGTTTGTGCTGTGTTTATGGTTACGTGACATTGTGACGTGTGTCCTGTGGTGTTTTGAGGGTTAAGTGCATGTTGTGTGAGTCTGTGTCACGGTCCTTGTTCACGCACCTTCTCTCGCTCCCTCTGCTCGCCTCATTTCTTAATTGTCATTGCATTCTCATTCTGTGTCTTATCGGCTCTGGGCTGCGCTTAACATCTCACGTTCTTTCTATCTGTGCTGCATTAGTCCATATGTCTGCCTATTCATTTGCTTGTCTTTCCTTATGTTACTCTGTGTCTGATCGGTACAGTCTATATATATGTGGCTGTCCATTTGATTGTGTCTATATTTGATCACTCACAGCTCTCCGTGTCACTTCATTCTGTATAACATGACTTCTGTTGCCTATTTCTCTCTCACTCTGTGACAGTCCGACTGCATCTTTCTAAGCATACATTTCTCTCCGTCTATGTTTTCTCTGTTTCATTTTCAGTGTCCTCTTTCTGTCTGTTATCGTCTGTATCCATCTATTTTTGTTAACGTCTATCTGTCTCTCATCGTATTTTTATAAAAATCCCCCTAATGTTTTTTGTTTTAATCTGTCCCTCCCTCCGATACCGCACCCTTCCACCAATGTAGCTCCGAACAAAATAAACAAAGCTGTCATTTTGCAAACCATCTGCTTATTTTGCTTACGGCTCGATTTATAAAATACAGTTATTTTTTGACAACACTGCAGCAAAACGCTTTCCACAGTAGCTGAACAAACATCTGCGCGCTTTGATGTTGTACATAATGAGATGGTGCTGCGGTGTGATGCTTGGCACCAGTGAACCACGCAATTCTGAGCCCGTCGGTTCAATCTCCCGGTGCGGCTCGTGAAAACAATGGAGCGAGCTTCTTGAAATCGCCTCTCCGCCTCTGGCCACCGGGCAGTTTCTAAATGGGCACAACACGGGCAGATCGGCCGATCTCGTGCAGTGGGTAAAGTGTGGGCAGTGGATCCTCGCCGCCGCCTATTCCAAGATGCCTCGAAGGTTGTGGAAGATAGCCAGAGGGGCTTTCGCTCGAGCGACCTCTGGTGGAGGCCTTTCCTCCAGCAATGGTGTGAGCAAGCAACTTCAGGATGAACCTTGACCTTTCTCCATTGCGACACTGTTTAAAAAAGAAAAACTAAATTCGAAAGCGACAAGCCAAATGAAGGCTCTTTTATCTTGAGATCATTTACCGTTCAGTCGTCACTCCGCCATAATCGGGTGTGCGCGTCGTGGCAGTGCTCATCTCTGCTGTGGCCCCCGAGACATTCGACATTCCTGTGACGGTGACCAGCCTCTCTATGCAATGAAAAGTACACCGAGGTAAAAGAAAAATATTAAAAACAAAAATGAATACAAATTTCCGCCAGGTCTGTCAATCATGGAAGAGTATACCAGAATCCCTCCGGAGGGGCTGTCAAATGAAAATAGTTCATAGTAGTTCGTTACTTGATACTCACTACCCCAGTCCTGCGGTGTCGTGTTCTTGGGGCTGTTCCCTGACGTCACGTCGGCGCGTGCGCTGCCTGGAGGTGTTTGCGCACCGTGCACATCCACTAATTTATTCATGGCAGTGTTTTGTTTTGCCGTCGTTCATCATCATCCCCCTTCTTGTTACCTCTTCGTCTGTCTCACTCGAATGGCAACACTGTGGATATGATTGGTGATTGTTTTTTTTTCATGGCATGATGCAAAGGGAGGAAGCAGATAAAGGAAATGGAAGATGTGCGGAAAGATTTAGACACTAAAATCAAAGAGGATGGTTTAGTTAAGATATTTTATCATCATCATTTTTTGTTGTATGTATGTTGAACTTCTTTCGCACCGTATGTTGCCAACTGTGCTAATCGGAGGTGCGGGGGAAGGACAAACTAAACGCAAAATCTGTTTAGTTTGTTGTCCTTCTATCCACAGCTAGATAAAGGCCTTTCTACATAAGCTAGCATAGGGCCTGAACTGATCATTCAAATATTACTTTGCACAGTAAACTTTGTAAACTTAAGAAAACTTTTATTTATTCTGATGAAAACTAGCATCTCACAGTTGTATCCACCGAGGATTACAAAGCCACTGCTGACTGCATTTGATCAAGTCCAGAATTTCATAATCCATGCAATGTACGAGTAGGAAAGTGAGCCAGAGCATCTTCAAGTTTTTTTGCTCCAGAAATAATGGCATCGTTTTGTTTTTTAAACACAGTAGCTGAGCACAGGTCTTAGGACCCAAAATGTCAAACGCACATCACTGTCACGGTTTTCATCGATAGGACTGTAACACGTTTCTTGAATTGAGCAAAGTTTAAGCTGTTATAAGAACTTGGGAAAAGAGACGTTTGGAGAGGGAATTCCAAAGTGGAGCAGTGCGAGGTGAGGAATGGACAGAGAAGTGTTGCGACCTGCAGCCGTGGTGGAGTGAGTGCGTGAGTGGGTGAGTTGAGTGAGTGGGTGAGTGGGTGAGTTGAGTGAGTGGGTGAGTGCATTGTTGCGACCTGCAGCCGTGGTGGATTGAGTGCGTGAGTGGGTGAGTTGAGTGAGTGGGTGAGTGGGTGAGTTGAGTGAGTGGGTGAGTGCATTGTTGTGACCTGCAATGTGGTGGAGTGAGTGGATGAGTGGGTGAGTTGAGTGAGTGGGTGAGTGAGTGCATTGTTACGACCTGCAGCCGTGGTGGAGTGAGTGGGTGAGTTGAGTGAGTGGGTGAGTGAGTGCATTGTTGTGACCTGCAGCGTGGTGGAGTGAGTGGGTGAGTGGGTGAGTTGAGTGAGTGGGTGAGTGAGTGCATTGTTGTGACCTGCAGCCGTGGTGGAGTGCGTGGGTGAGTTGAGTGAGTGAGTGCATTGTTGCGACCTGCAGCCATGGTGGAGTGAGTGGGTGAGTTGAGTGAGTGGGTGAGTGAGTGCACTGTTGTGACCTGCAGCGTGGTGGAGTGAGTGGGTGAGTGGGTGAGTTGAGTGAGTGGGTGAGTGCATTGTTGCGACCTGCAGCCATGGTGGAGTGAGTGGGTGAGTGGGTGAGTTGAGTGTGTGAGTGAGTGCATTGTTGTGACCTGCAGCCGTGGTGGAGTGCGTGGGTGAGTTGAGTGAGTGGGTGAGTGAGTGCATTGTTGCGACCTGCAGCCATGGTGGAGTGAGTGGGTGAGTTGAGTGAGTGGGTGAGTGAGTGGGTGAGTTGAGTGAGTGGGTGAGTAGGTGCATTGTTGCGACCTGCAGCCATGGGTGAGTGAGTGGGTGAGTTGAGTGAGTGGGTGAGTGAGTGTATTGTTGTGACCTGCAGCGTGGTGGAGTGCGTGGGTGAGTGAGTGGGTGAGTGAGTGAGTGTGAGTGAGTGCATTGTTGTGACCTGCAGCGTGGTGGTTGAACAGAGTGTGGATGAGATGAAACAGTCAGGCTGTTAACACCGAATCCTCAACATGGGTGCTTAGTATTCTTTGGTTCTTTCGGTAAAGTGACGTAGATATGAAATAAAATATAAATAATAAAAATAATAAAAAAAAACTGACGACGATGGGTGCTTTGCTACACATGGAGACCCTGAGGTGGCATAGTCTGATTGGGGAGGCCTTAATCCAGCACTAGGTTGTGATTGGCTGGTCATAGTAATTATGAAATTCGATGATGATAAACATTGAGTGGCACCATCAATACATGAGTAGGGGCATCTG